ACAGCCCTGTTGAGCAGGTAACGAGCGTCAGAAAGGTGACATGAGTTAATTTCAAACAATGAGTCACTGGAAGAGATCAGAAAGGAGCCCAGAGCTCTACCTGATGTGCGGTGTCTCACTGAACCCGCCTGTCATGCCAATATCAGTTGCCCTTGTTCTGTGTTACTATGACAGGCTCTGAAGCCTTGTTCTAGCACACACACAGCTAGATACACACCCAGCTGTAGAAATCATAGAGTCTGTGATCAGTTCGTTATGGGAGGACTCACTTAGGAGATTGCCCGGCACTCCTGTGCTCACCCTCTGAAGTATAAACCCAAAATTATATTGTCCTGCACTATGTAGAGATCTATGTAGCGTAAGCTCATGAAAAATCACTCTTCCCTCAATGTAGAGGAAAATGTGCACAGCTCTTTTCCCCTTCTACTCCAGGTATGAATTGCACAGACTGGATTTTAGAAAACAAAACAAGTTTATTAACTACAAAGGATTGATTTTTACATGATTATAAAGGGGCAGCAAACAGAATAAAGCAGATTACTAAGCAAAATAAACACGCAGCTCAAGCTCAATTTACTGAAGAAACTGATTACAAACAGTAATTTCTCATCCTAAACGTTGTTTTAGGCAGGTTGCGGTGATTCTGCATCTTATAGTTCTAGGTATTCCTCTTCACAGGCTAGAACGCTGTCACAGCCACGGCCCAGTCCTTTCGGTCCAGATCGGTCTTAGGTGTTTACAGCCATCATTCTGGGTGGGGATTCAGTGAAGAACAAGCATCCTGGATTAACTGACTCTCCTGCCTTAAATTTAATTTACATATGGAAGCAATAGTGTGTTTCCCTGTTTGACCCCCCCACTCCTTGAGTGGAACAGTGCCAGCGATGGTATTTCGTACCTTGCAGTGTTAAAGCAACCACGAAAGAAGGCTTGTTTGTAATGTCCACAAGAAGGAACTCCAGGAAGATGGGAGATCATCAGCTTCAAAGACTCACTGTCTTTCCTAACAGCACATCCAAGCTGATTTCTTACTGTCTGTAGGTGTTCCCCAGGTACAACCACAGTTGTTATATATAGTCAGTATTCTTCACTCCAGTTACAGAAATAATACATGCATGCAAATTAGATAATTACATTAAGTGAATCATAACCATTCCAATAATATCTCACCAAACCCATCTTGCATCAAATACATCTTAATTATGCAATAGTCATGTACTAAGCATATTTCTATGAAGCATATTGGGGTACAGGGTCACATCCAGGGCTCCTGAATCTCAGTTAGTCAATTCACTGCCCTAGTTTAGTGGAAATGAAAACTGTTCCTCTAATCAACAGCAGACTTCCACTGGGTAGACAAACAACCCCATGGGTGATATTTATGAGTCACTTGCATCTGGTGGCCATGTTACTGAAAAGTGACATATCTCAGAGTTATACAGCACACTGTGTGACTAAATCAGTTTCATCCCAGCCATGTAACAAACTTACTTCCTTTGTTTAGCAACAATCTTCAAAAATCAGGACAGCCTCCAGGAAAAATGGGCATCCAAACCTACCATCCCAGACGGGATCATGACTGTGAGAGAAGCATGGCTTTTTGTGCTGTGTCTGTCCTGCATCTAGCACAACAGAGGGGAGCTGGGGAATGGGGGGGGGGGAGGGAAGAGCCTGACCCAGGGCCAGGGGTCAGCCCGGGAGTGAGGATTCTTCCAGGGGTGGGAGGAGGATCTCCGCTGTCCCCCTGCCATGGCCCCCTTGGGAGCACTGCCACTGCCTGTGCAGCATAGTCCTGTACATTGCCACAGGTGCCATAGCTCCCCCTCCCCCCGCTCCACCCACCCACACTATCACTGGCCTGTGTGGTGCCCTCTTTCCCCTCACCCTGGGACAGGCCTAGGCAGACCTGCACAGCCCCCGAATCCAACATCAGGCCCAGGGGATGCCTGCAGGTGGCCTGTGCAGCCCCCACGCCCCCAGCCTGGGCCCTGCACATGCCAGTGGGAGGCCTGCACGGCCCCTCCCCTCACCCCCAGGCTGACCACTGGCCCTGGGTCAGGCTCCCCCCCCCATCCCCAGCTCCCCTCTGCGTGGCTCCCATAGCCCCAGGCTGGACTCAAGCAACGCCGGGTAAATCTTCTAGTAAGTATGTAAATTATGAACGGAGCCATCACCATGTTAAAAACGCACATCTTATCTTTCTCACAGGGATTCGCTGAGGATTTTTTATTTTTTGTACAGTGTTTAATAGTATAAAATGCTACCTACTTTTTTATCATAATTTATTATTAAACACCTTAGGGGAAATATGGTGCTGAAAACCACTTTCACACTCGGATCAGCAACACCCAGATCCTCCGGCATAGGCAAGGGGGAGGGGTATGAAGTAGGGGAGGCCACTTGCCTGGACCAGTGATGATCCCTGCTCCCAGCTGGCCACTCCCTTGTTAGTGCAGCTGCCTCCAGTGATTACTCTACAGCAGGGGTGGGCAATAACTTTTGGTGGGAGGGCCATGCTAAGAGTTTAGAAAGTGGTCGAAGGCCGCACTTTTCTGTGGAAGAGATGCAGGGTCTAGAGTAGAGGGTGGGTGCAGAAGGGCGCATGGGGTAAGGGAGTGGGATGTAGGAGATGGTGTGAGATCTAAGAGGGAATTTGGGTAAAGGACAGGGTTATGACCTGAGTCAGAGGATTGGGGGTATAGGGTCAGGGAGGGAGTATGGGTGCAGGAGAGGATTCTGGCCTGGGAGAAGGGTGAGGGAGGGGTACAGGGTCTAGGATGGAGTTGTGACCTGGGTCAGGGGGGGTGTAGAGGGTTTGGATGGTGACCTGGGGAGGACGTTACAGTGCAGGAGGGGCAGAGGTGCCAGAGGCAGGCTTTGGCTGGGAGGTGCTTACCTAAGTGTCTCCCAGCCAGTAGCCCTGCAGCATCCCCAAGGCAGGCTGGCCTCCTGCCTGCTGCAGCTGCAGCCCTCTTGAAAATGCAGACTGCTCCCTCCATGTGGCTCTCAGCTCCAGGAGGGGGAGAGGCTTACGCTGCCCAGTTCCCACAGGCCAGTCTCTCCGCTCCTATTGACTTGTTTACAGCCAATAGAAGCTGAGAGATTGGCGGGTGTCAGTTCCTATTGGTCAATTGTTTCTGAGTATTGGGCTGGGGATGTAGAGATGACATGAAGCCTCCTCCTCCTTCCAGAGCAGAGAGGCATGCAGAGCAGCCCTGCAGCAGGGGGGACCATGGGCTGAGCGGTATCTTGCCCATCCCACTCTACAGTATAGCTATCCCCTGAGCTCGCTACCCGCAGTGTGAGTATAGTGTCCCTCCACTCAGCCCCTTCCCCCCTCCCCCCCAAGGGCTGGCCAGGCCCGGGCCTGGGGTGCCACAGCCAGGGGACACCACAAAGGGCTCAGGACCCATGCCTCCCCTTCAGCCTCTTTTTTCATCCAGGTGGGCAGACTTCCCTCTGCCCCCTCTCCTCTGACCTCTTCTCCATGCTGACTGGCAGGCTTCTCCCCGCCTCTCCCCTTTGGCCAGCCTGGGGCGTCCAGTTCCACCCTGGAAAGGCCAGAGCTGTGATAGATGGAAATGTTTGTAGCATGTGAATGAGTAGGTGGAGGGCAGGCAAGGCTGGGATGAGGGGGAGC